ATAGACTTGACTTGACTTGAAATACATCATTCCACTCCGTCTTCTGCCGAAATGTCAACAAACCATGAAACAGTGCTTCCTTCAGATGGATCATGCAGGAAGGTATGTCGAGAAACAGAACACGTCATGACAGCACTGCACTGGAACTTACTTCTTGAAGTCTCGCAACTCCAGTAGTTCCGGTGGAGCTGAAAAGCAGAACAAAAGTACACGAATTGAGTACACAAGGGAGTGATCGAAACTAAAGGAGCAAAAATGCTGTTAATAACAATGAAAGGAAAGGCGGAGATTGTTATGAAATCAACCAAAAGCCGGATGCCACCACCTAATTAAGCATTGAGTTAACGCCCAAGGAAGAACGCCATAAGAAGGGGCGCAAAAGCAGAAGTCTTTTAACGTACTTAGTACAACGTATTTGAGGTAAACAAAGCGTTTGCCGCCATGACCATTAGCCAAACCGGTACTGTGCTCGACCGAGTGGTGATTCGATCAGCTTGCGACTCATCCGGCTGGCATGTCAGAATCCTAGCCTGGTCGCAACCTTAAATTTTTAATTATTGATTGATTAACAGCTTACTTGCGCCGCGTGTAAGCAAACCTGGCGTGAGTGCGGCTTGAAGCTTGCCTGCTGGCTGCGTGCGTGCGTGCGCGTCGACATCAACTTCGCCGCCAGCTGATTCCATTAGGGTGATTTCTAACACAGATGGTCCTTTGTTGTAGCTGGGATCGTGCATACACGAACACAAGTAGCTGTCCACACTTACGAAACGAAACATTAGTTTAACTTCGTAGCCACGAAGATAATCATCCATGTCAGACGTCAGAAAAGCCGCGAACTGATTGAAGCCTGGGCTTCTGATAAGAACACAGACGATCGATATATCGATCTGGCGCCAGCATAGAGGGTCCTGTGCGGGCACGTCCCGCTCGGCGTTAAGTGTGTTTGATTGGCCCCGACTAATTTGTGATATCTCAGCCGTGGCACTCCAGCAAGATTTCAAAAGCTCGAATGAATAAATGCTTCTCACGACCGAAAATACACCATCTTACCCACTTAGAAACTTGTCAGTAACCAAACTTTGGTAAATTTTAACAACTATATGGACATTTCTTTCACCCGTGCGAAACGGCGTTTTTTACTCGAGAAGGTAAGGACTGCTAAATAAGGTTGTGAGTAGTGGAGGCGAATTGAGCTGCTGGCTCGACGGAGATGATACACTGAGACTCACCAGTCTGCAAAAGGTACTCCACAACATTGAGGTGACCGTATTTGCATGCCATATGTAAGCCGGACAGACCTGCGGAGTCAACGGAGAGAGCCGACACGCAGCCGGTGTCCAGCAGACAGCGAACTTCGTCCAGATCGCCGTCCCGACAGGCCCGAAGGAAGGCTTTAAAGCAATCAAAGCAAGGTAAAGGAATAGGCGTTGAAGCTGAAAATAATCTCAGTTGACTGAATGACCTCATCGAAAATGTGAATCCAGGTTGGCCAATGAGAAAATAGAAATCGGATAGGGTGACTAAAGTCATGCACAACGCAAGCATCCGCATATATGGTCAGCCGTCACACGTAATCATTTTTAAGGGTAGGATATATGAAAGGAATGACGGATAACGGATTGACCATGTCTATAAGTTTCGAATGTCTTCTGACTAGCGGCTGCGCATTCCACGTTGATTAGGCCGTCGAGTTACTGAATAGGAATGTACTAAACCTAACACTAGCATTGACGCTAACGCTAACCATAGCCCTAGCAGTAAGCCTAATCTCTAACTTCCTTGGCATTTAGTACAGAGCGGCGTGGGGAATTGCTATGCCCGTGTCCTACTGTGCGTTCAAGTGAACTTCTTCGCAGGTCACTCACTTACAAAGCGTTGGCTATTAATCACATATTCCCCGTTATAGAGTATTTCAGAAATAAAGGATTTCCAATTAATTGCCCAGGGGTAGGCCGCGTGTGCTCAGGATACGGTCCCGCTTACTTGACCTATGTTTAAATCGGTCCCTTTCATTGCTAATCCACCCACGAAATTTCCCCCTTGTCTTGAGGCGTAGTTCAGCTAAATTCTTGGGTCTTTACCTCATCTGACTACTTTATGAGATTGAAAATCCAAGTTAGTTGAAGGGTGTCGTGTGTTCGTCTGTGAATGGGGGCATACTGTCAAAGGGGTCTTCGCTCGCCATATTCTTTTAAGTGAAGCTTTAAGTCAGTAATAAACTGGCTACTTATTTAATTTAGGTAGAAGTAAAATATTGAAGGTTTTAATCTGTCCAATCGGATTACTGTTCGCGGACATTGGGATTGGAGCTAGGACTTAGAATTCCTCCCCGGAACACCT